AACAATTATTCCACGAGCGCGCGTTGGATATGAGATGATAGATAGCCAACGAGGCACTTAGCGCCGAGTTGGGTATAATCATCTCTTATCCAACAAGTGCGAGTAGAATAATTGTTTTTATTAAAAATGAATTAAATTATTAAATTTTATTAAATTTTTGGCTCCCTTTTAATTTTAAGCTGACACGTATGCTTACCATATATGTAGATTATGGTATATTGGCTGATATACCATAATGGCTAAGCCAATAAAAAGTCTTGAATTGCATTATCCAATGATCTAGTTTTTAATAATTCACATTATCCCCAGTGATGCAGTACTACAGTTCCTTAAATGTTATCCCCTTTATGAGTGATTCAGCTCGTATGAGGAAGTTATAAGAGGGAATTTTTGGTTAGATCCTGGGAATTAAACAATTAAACTTCATTTCTTTTCAGGTAAGCCAGAAACACGGAATTGTTTTCCTGATCACCAAGTATGGGTACATCCATCTGTACGATGTAGAAAGTGGATCCTGTATTTATATGAACCGGATCAGTGGAGATACAATCTTTGTGACTGCTCCTCATGAACCTACAGATGGCATCATTGGTGTCAACAGAAAGGGACAGGTAACTTTAAAATATCATTGTTTTGTTCCCATGGTTTTGATTAAGGAATTACATCATGGTAGTTTGGGACATTTTATTGACATAAAGAGATTCAGGGCGTAAAATTGCGCCTAATACAGGCGGCAATGCGACTAAATTTTTCACTTTGGCGACCAAATCCTGAAAATTAGTCGCCAAATTGGCGACTAGAATTTCTAATCACACCTTACCTAGAGATCTAGTGATTGTTGAAGATTTGTAAAGATAAATCTGCAGCAAAGTTCTTCGTTAAGCTCATTTCCAAAACGCAGCACATGCACGATGTCAAACGTAAATCTATCGTCACTAGACGCCATCTTGGATTTAGGTGACCTATAGCCATGTATATGATCCATTCTAGTAGATTCTAGTGTCCTCTTTGTAGCTTGTACGAATTTATCGGGCTCATTTTTTATGTTTATATGACTGTATAACTATGATATGATAATCTATCTAGTACAGTGACAGGGTAAAAATTTTTGTGTGTGTGTGTGTATCATAATGGCCACCAACTTTTTGGAATTGGCTACCACTTTAAAATATTTAGGAGCCAAGTGGCTACCAGAAAAAAAAGTTAATTTTATGCCCTGAAATTGCTTGACACTAGGAAAAAACCTAAAAATTGTTATTCTATGTAATGGCCAGACCCCAAAAGTACAACGAAACGAGAAAGGGTATGGGTACAGATGGAGACAATTGAAAAGAATAAAAACTAAGACTGTAATATGTAGAGGTGGGTAATCTGTGATGTAGCTCCATCCTTTCTGGGCTCTGAATTTACATTTTACCCCCCAATTGTTCCATTTTAGGTATTGTCAGTGAGTGTGGAGGAGGACAACATCATTCCATACATCACCAATGTGCTCCAGAATCCTGATCTAGCTCTTCGTCTGGCTGTAAGGAACAATTTGGCCGGAGCAGAAGAACTGTTTGTCAGAAAATTCAACACTTTATTCACCAACATGCAATATGCTGAAGCTGCTAAAGTTGCTGCTAATGCACCTAAGGTAATTGTTAGTGAGAAGAGACCTGAAGAAGTAGGATTTAACTCAAAATGCTTTGCAAAATGATTGAAAATAAAACTTTTGAGTGTTGAGAATTGAAAGCGTCAAACATTCCTCTTGATTGAAACAAGAGTAGTGCGAATAAAAGTAAGAACAAAATCCATACCAACAGTTTTAAATGAAGAATAGTTAGAATGTCACTTGTTAAAAGAAAGAAGACTTCAAGTGAAGATGTGACGTTGTGGCTGGCAGTGATTGTGTCCTCTTGAATATGGTGACAATGATTGTGTTGATCTTGATATTGAAATTGACAAGGACAAGGTCAGTGATGATGTGGGTTTTAAAAAGAATTGTAAAGCAAATATCTCTTCCCTAAGTGTGTGTCGATACTCCATTTTGAGGTTGAAATTGGGTAGGGGTTAGTGGGTTAAAACTAGGGCTACAGGACTTGTCTTTGGCTGGCTCGTATATCCACAAAGATGACAATAACATCTCTAAAGGGAAATTGCATTACCCAGAGAAATTACAAAGTTATCTTTACCTTTATTTAAAGTTTCTTCCAAAATTTTTATCGTTAATTAGGGTGTGCTAAGAACGCCACAGACAATTCAGAGGTTTCAGCAAGTTCCATCTCAACAAGGTCAAACGTCACCTTTGCTGCAGTATTTTGGCATTTTGTTAGATCAAGGCAAACTCAACAAGTTTGAGTCACTGGAGCTGTGCAAGCCTGTTTTACAGCAAGGAAGGAAGCAGCTTCTAGAGAAGTGGCTCAAGGAAGAAAAGGTAAAGAGCTGGTAACAAACATTTTCTGAGGTCAAGAAAACTTTCACTTGCTTAACAAAGACCAGGTCCAAAGGCTCTCATGTAACAATAATATTCATTTGCATCACACTTACCCACATTTTAAAACAAATACTTCTTGGAAGTGGCTTTTATGAGGGCCCATTCTGGTCAAAATGGTGCATATAATTTTTAACTGTGTGTGAATTAATTTTACACATTGATAGAATTAATATTTTGCATTTCTAAAATATTTTATTTAACCACCAAATTAATTTTACCATTCCTATTAATTATATTTTTAGAAAACGAATATTTTGTGTGTTTGTAATTAATTGTGTGCGTATTTGGAATTAATTTTGTGTGTGTTTGGAATTAATTTTGTGTGTTTCTCAAAGTCCCTTTACCCATAACACCTTGCGGTAGTTCTCTACCTGTGCTGCCAAACAAAGATGGCGACGGCCCCTTCGATTCCCGAGCAAGTGAAAGAAATTGTACAAGCTGCAATAGACAGTATTAATCAGC